GGGGGGGGGGAGGGGGTGACACATGCTTCCACATTCCTACTTTTATCTACTGGGATTAAAATATCATTAATTTTAGAAAAATCCACTCTCTTTTTACTAGTAATGTAAGTTATCAGGTAAGAACTTACACGGTAAGCGTTACCATGGTTTTTTACACTTAGGGGCCGTTTACCAAACACTAATTCAGGTAAGCGAACACTAATTCAGGTAAGCGAACACCAATCCACATTATCTTATCGGATGAATATGGTACGAACCAAGAATCTTACCCGGTAAGAACAAGACAATGACCAAGAGTTTTACCCGGTAAATGAGGACGACGACGCTTACCGGGTAAATTGGTGCATACGATATCGTTTTGGTGGACTAAAATCTTACACGATAAGTAAATGATAGTGTTAAATTTTATCGGTAAACGCTTACCGGATAAGTGTTTGGTAAACGGCTCCTTACTCAAATACATTTACACACAAGTGATCCAAGCGATTTTCGTAAGCCAAAAATGTCTTCCTATGTTTATTTTAGTGCTTCGGCTAAACCACATTTGAGAACTTTCAAAATTTTGATGTTAACCGAAAATTAACGCTACTGTTAATTATAAATCAGACCAATTTCCTAGGTTCTTGACGAACTTACCAAGTGCCTAGACCCTAGTAAGTGTTGTCCTATTTTGGTAAACAATCTGACTGCTGACTGAGTCAGCGTTGCTAACCGGTCAGAGCCTAGCAAACAGCCTCTAAAGCTTTAGACGCTACGCTGCTAGTATCAACCATTGGCTATAAACGTTAGTATTAGACAACAATCTGAAAAGCTTTCTAAATGATAACCCAATCTGGTTATAAAAACAAACCTGTTTGAAATCGATATGAAATACAACGCTTTTATATCTCAAACTCATACCTACATCATGCATGAACGATAGTGGTGTGCAGAAAATCAGTCGATCCAATTGGAACCGACTAATCCAATTAAAATCGACCGATCATAATTGGATATCCAATTGTAATCAGATCGGATCGAATTGAAAATTTCAACACCCAATTTGGATCGATTGGTTATCGGATGACAGTTTAGAACCGACCAAAACTGAACCGATCAATATCCAATTACCCATCCAATTAATCATCTGATGACCATCCAGTTGTCCATCCAACCATTATCCAATTAATTTATTTTCAAATTGCTTAAATCGGAATTTATTTTATGTGAGACTTTGAATTTTTAATTTCTCTTGTGCTGGTTTTAACACATATTAAAAGTGATTAATTAATGTCTAACATTATTAGAGAATTGGATTAAATTAACACATTGGATGGATCTAATCTCATTGGATATCCAATAGATGAAACCGAACCAACCCAATCATCCATTGAATTGGATTGGTTATCTAATATTAATTGGATCAGATCGGTTGACAAAATCCAACATCAAAAGAATGATTGGAACAGTTCGATTCCCTCATATTCAATAGATGTCAATCAATGAACAGACCTAATAAACAGTGTTTGTGGAGTTATGAAATGTAAGTGGTAGTTGTTTAATAATTTTGGTTGCCACCGTCATCGTTGTTCTCGTCACTATTCGTTTGTACCTCATATAATTGGGCGCAAAACATGTGCAAACTCACGGCCCCTTTATTCTTCTCCTAAAAGTTGGATTTTAAATTATTTATATAATATAAAGTTAAATATTTATTTATTAACAACCATCATTATATTATTATGTTTATTTTTCCATTAAAGTTGTTTGAATTCAAATCTATCATTGCTTTCATTATTGATATTTTATTTAACGAACCCAAATTCAATAATATTATACTTATTTTCAAAAAAAATTATTTACATATTATTAATTACATAAATAATTTATTTTTCTTTTTTACTAACTTGGACATATCGACTAATTCCAGGACGACCACCCATTTTGTGGGTAGCCTGGAGTCATTACATTTGAACATCCGTAGCCACAAGAGAATTTTTATTTATCATTGGATTTGAACCCGAAACCTTCAGATACTTTTGATATTTTGAATCTCAAGTTTAAAGTTTAAACCAATCATTTTTTTTTGCTTTTATCTATATCTATACTATATTATAAAGCATTTGACAAAAACTATTAAAAATCATTTTTTATATAAGAAGTATTGTTTATTAATGTATATTACTTAAAATTTTCAGATTACAAGTAAATTTAAGTAAGTACAACTTATTAAAGCTCCATTTTTGAATTCGTATAACTAACTGTAGATAAACATAATTAAATACAGAATAAACATCTTATTTTAAATATAAAAAATGTAAATATAATTAAAATAATCATTGAATTCTAAGAGAATTATTATCTTTATGAAAATTATATTCTTAAGCCATAATAAATTAGTTTGCTATTTGATCTAAATTAATTTATTATAAGAACTTGAATAAAAGAAATTGTAAAAAAAAAAAAAAACGATAAATATTAAATATTTAATTTGATATCAATATTGATATATTTTTTCAAAATTTTATGATATCTTCAAGTTTATTTTTATTCAAAAATAAAAACATTATCTTTTTCAAAACCACATAAAATGTATTACATCAACGGAGAACAAAAAGTAAAACAAAAAAATTAAAATGAAGATGGATCTCGTTACATTACACGAATAATGCTCTAATTAAATTATAACATATTCTCTTAGGGGTCGTTTACCAAATACCTACTCGGTAAGTGCTTACCAATAAAAATTAACACCATTATATACTTACCGGGTAAGATTTTAGTCCAGCAAAACGCCATCGCATACAACAATTTACCCGGTAAGTGCTTACCATGGTAAGAGTCGTCGTCCCCACTTATCGGGTAAGACCTTTTGGTCCTTGTCGGGTAAGATTATTGGTCTTTACCATATCCATCCGATGAAGTAATGTAAATTGATAAGCGCTTACCCGAATAAACGTTTGATAAACAGCCCTTTAGTCACATTAATTAAAAACAATGTTTTGTTTAATATGAAACTTTTGAGAAAACGTAGTTATCTGAAATGGAAACAAAATAGGTTTGATTTCAATATAATTAGTTATATTTTATTCAATAAAAGATACCACTGTGCTTGTTCCCATGAATTAAAAAACCATTAGAACATTTAAATATATGAAAATAATAGTATTATTAGTGGGGGACTTAAAAGAGTCTTGATCGGATTTTTGTGCACCTCTCAACTTATTTTCATAACTATAATTTTTTTGGTATACCAGATGTATCCGTTAAATTTTAGAAGGGTGTTTTCGGAATGTTAAAAATACAAGACCCATAAAACTAAAAACTGAAAAAGTCTCTAAAAAACAACCAATAAAACCGGGAAAAAAAATTCATTGACAATCAACCGGATTTTTTGAAAAATCCATCGAAATGTGGAATTTAGCTAAAAATACATCAAAATGATTTTGTGGATTTTTGATCCACCTAAAACCTGCATCCGCTCTATAAAGATCTTAGATCAACCATCGGTGTATATATATGTATATATATACACACACACACACACACACATACATGAATCGTGTGAGAATAAAAGTTAAAGTGAGAAATATAAAAAGGGATTTGGACACTTCATCACTTTTAATCCCAACATAGCTCATAAATTGTGTTTTATAAAGGAATTGATCTAGTGCTTCTCTTTATTTATGACTGATCCACCGGTGGAAATCTCTTCTCACTCTTTTCACCATAACCTTCATCATCAACACACACACACACACACACACACACACACATATATATATATATATATATATATATAATACCTTCATTTTACGGGGACCTTGTGATGTACAGACGACGTGTTCTACGACTTAGCCCACGCCAAATGTTGTATGCGTCTATGATTAAGCATCACGTGTGATGGTCTTGATGGATTATAGTATCATATCAACAACACTCTTATCACATGTGATAATACATGTGAGAGAGCTTAGTGGTGTAAAGGCGACTTGGGTCGCAACGAAAATCGTCCGCATCTCTGATTTAGTATCACATGTGTATCATATATGATGGATTTAGTATCACATGTGTATCATATATGATGGACTCTAATTATCTATAGTAAAAAAATGTTTATTGTTTGAACCATTTCTCTCTCTCACACACACATATATATATATATATATATATATTTGTTTGTTTTATTACAGAAAAGGAGAGATGCATGCGTATTCTGTCAAGTCAGCATCCCTATTCCCTACTGTACTTGTATATATATACGTTGAGGGAGCTTGTAGCTTCATATATAAATATATATATATATATATATATATATATATATATATCGTACATTATATCAAGCTTACAGATATAGTAAACATTCTTACCCTAATTATCCACATTTATTCCATCCTTTTCCTTCCCCCGTATATATATATATATATATGATGTCGATTGATCAGGAGTTTCTCCGCCACCTAAATCCGCCGCAGGTGGTGGTGATCAGAGAGTACAAGGAAGAGACTGACAAGGCAGCAGTGGAGGCCTTGGAGAGCCGATGTGATTTCCGGCAGCGGCGGAAGCCTTCCCTGGTCACCAATCTGTTGGGCGACCCTCTTTGCCGCGTCCGCCATTTTCCCTTACATGTTATGCTGGTACACGCATGACTTACGCTTAAAATTTCTCATGTTTCATCGATCAGTTGCATGTGGCTGCCGGAGTAATTTAACGGCGGAACATGATGACGATTATGAAATGATTTAAAATGGTGCAGGTTGCTGAGCATGGAGAGGAGGGTGAAATAGTGGGAGGAATAAGGGGTTGTATCAAGACAGTAAGCAGAGGGGAGAAGCATCCAGTTTACATAAAGCTGGGTTATGTTCTTGGACTCAGGGTTTCACCCACCCACAGGTCTCTCCATTCACTCCATTTTCCAAATTAATTAGCTGAATATATATATATATATATATATATATATATAAATATATATGTGTATATATATGTATATACTTATTTATGAGATCATTGTCAACTACATGTATGGGTTTAGTAAATAATCATAGTGTGAATTATCATTTCTAGGTTTAATGTTTGAAACATAAAACACTCTTGGCTTAGATCAATGACTATTAACGGTGTGAATTACCATGTTTGAGTTTAATGTTTGGAACATAAAACACATTGGTTTGGATTCAGTAAGCAATCACATTGTAAATCACAATGTATGGGTTAACATGTGTGCTTGTAAATGGATCTCACAGTTCTCATAAATACGTTGTTCTCTCATGAATAGCCCCTATATATATATATATATATATATGGTTTTTCGAGTCTTTTACAAGAAAGGTAAGCTAAATTATGGTAAAATTTCGAAGGATTTTTTGAGTTATGTTTCTCTACTAGAACGGACTTTTTTAGGAGAAAATTGATCCATGTCTAAGTTGATGTGGGTTTCTAACACGCCTCCTTCAATAAAGGCTAGACGGGTGAAGGGTTAGACGAGTATAGATTGCCAAATAGTGTCGAGTCACCACAACGTAGATCTTGGTTCTAATACCATGTGAAAACGTGGGAAATCACCATATTTACTCTCGTAAAGAATCCTTGAAGACAGAAAAGACGTTACAATATATTTGGAAGAGAAATTTGGGATTCTTTCACTTTTGATGTTTTTTATAGTTTTATTGTTGATAAAAGAGACATTTTATTTCGTTGGTGGAGGATGGATCCTTTTGATGTTATTCTTCTTTTATCGACGGATGGTGGTTCTTTAACGTGTTGTTGTTTAACCTAAACAAATAGTTTCTGTTGGTTTTCTTTAGCAGAAAACTAATTTTTAAGATTTTGAAGAAAAAGGAAAAAGATTTCACCAAAATTCAAGTGGACATTTCATCTTCTCTGTGTTTGAATCCAGGCCTTGTCAACATCTTTGTGACCATCGAGGTTCACCTAAGATAACTCCTGGTCATTAGTGACCGTCCGAAATTAGTCGGCGTGTCCAAGATATTACTGATTGCAAAAAGAAATTGTATAATTATTATAATATAATGTTTGATATAAAAGTTTTGTGATTATTTTATTGGTTGATTGATAATGACATTGAATCATAGCATCAAATTGGAAAGGTTTTTAATGGATTATACTCCATAAAATATCACCCACTTTTTTAGTTAACAAGTACAAATAGGAAAGATTAGATTAGATTAGATTCCAATATAAACAAATGATCACAATAATTGATCTTATTTTTCATTATATATATATATATATATATATATATATATATATATATACACACACACATTTATCTCAATCTATAATTCGATATTTTAATTTTGCATGTAGGCGACTAGGTATCGGCACGAAACTCGTTCAACGTTTAGAAGAATGGTGCATGAAAAATGGCACCGAATATGCTTACATGGCGACTGACTCACAGAATGAAGCTTCATTAAACTTGTTCACGCTGAAATGCGACTACATCAGGTTTCGTAGCCCCATAATTTTGGTGCAACCTGTTCACGCCCACAACAAGCCGTTGATCTCGGGTGTGGTGATTAAACGTCTTGACCCACAACTGGCTGGCTCGGTTTATCGAAAAGTGTTGGCAAACTCGGAATTTTTTCCCAAGGATATTGATGTAATTTTGAATAACAAGCTTAATTTGGGAACTTTCATGGCCATACCCAAGGGGTATCTTGATAACTGGGATCCTAAAATGACCATATTACCCCCTAGCTTTGCTATATTAAGCATATGGAACACGAAGGAGGTGTTTCAAGTTCAAGTGAAGGGGGTGTCACCACTAACGTATGCAGAGTGCGCAGGAAGCAGGGTGCTGGACACGTTGATGCCGTGTTTAAGGTTGCCTTCGGTTCCGAATTTCTTCGAGCAGTTTGGGGTTTATTTCTTGTACGGACTCCACATGAGAGGCTATGGAGCTTCACGGCTCATGAAGTCGTTATGTGGATTTGCACATAACATGGCTAGGGACGACAACATATGTAGGGCCGTTGTGGCAGAAGTGGGCCACAACGACCCAATGAGAGAGGTGGTCCCACATTGGAGGAAATTTTCATGGGCTGAAGACATATGGTGCATCAAGAAGCTTGGACCCGCGAAGGAGGATATCAACAAGAATTGTGGACCACACGATTGGATAAAATCTAGATCGTCCCCTCCGGTGATCTTCGTTGACCCTCGTGATTTTTGACTTCCAATTACGTTGACTTCGACTTGAAATTTCATTGACTTTTGTGAATATTTTATAAACATTTCAAGTAAAGTAATCTAACGGTCCCGATGTGATAGATGCTACAATCAATCACCACGTGTTCGAATAAACATGATTCAATTCCATTTCAGTTCTTTCAAATTCGTACTTCTTTACACATTCCAGAAATATTGCCGAACCAATCGCCCCCGTATGATTCAGCTACCCCAAGGGGCATCGTATGTGCTAGTTTGAAGTCATTCCGGTTGCTATCCATTCTCTGAATCATTTACCACGAACCCATTTCTTCATACGTCGCCCACGCCCACCTCGGTCACCATATTTTGCATTTCTCATTCCCGGTTTCTTTATTTTCCTCCGTTCGTCGTCTTGTGACGAATCCTTCAATAGCTTCTTCAGTTTCGGATCGTCGGTAATTCCGATAGATATCATGTCAGCATATAATTCCCTGGCCTTGCCTGTTAACCCATGCCTCACTAACCCTTCTACCATTATCATAAAATGTGCAGAATCAGGTGAAACTTCAAACTCTTTCATTTTCACCCAAATCTTCAATGCATTTTCAACCTCATCTAATTGGAAAAACTTACCAACAAGTATAAGAAAAGTATCCTTATTTGGACCGTTCCCCGATTTCGCCATGCGGTCGAGAAGTTCCAAACGTTCTTCGAAACTTACTCCCGTGCCTTCCAGAAACGCATGATATGTGTCGATAGCAGGGCTTACGTTTTCTTCCAACATTCTCGACAGTATACTTCTTGCATCCTCCAGTTTTCCTGATTCACATAGCGGACGTAATATAAGATTGTAAGTGCTAGAATCGGGCTTCAGATTCGCCTCCTTCATTTTGTGCAAGATTCTGAGAGCTTCGTTATAGCAATTCTCACGTGCAAGTACATAAACCAAGGAATTATAGACCTCTCTGTTGGGTTTCCATCCCTTCTTCTTCATTTCATCGTACAATCTGAGCGAGTCAAACAGATTGTTGACTTTCGAGAAGCAAGAAATCAAGTGGGTATACGAAGTTTCATCTGGGATCACTCGGCATTTGTCCATTTCTTTCCAAATTCTCTTGGCTTCAAATATGTCGACGAATATATTACACCAACCACCAAGAATGATGTTGAAGCCCTCGGTTTCAAGTGGAAAGAGCTTTGTGTTTAGAAACATGAACTCTTCGGCCTCTTCAACATTTCCATGCTTACAGAGGGTATACAAGAGTGTGTAGAATGCCTTCTGATCCGGACTCAATTTGAACTTTTCCATTATTTGAAATGTACGAATTGCTTCGGCTGGTTCGTTTGCAGCTGCATATCTATTGGAACACCAATGAAAAAGAATAAGGAACCGGTTAACCACACATACACATTAATATCGTAGATTGCAGTCCAAAGAGTCAAAATTGTAGAAAAATCTTGTCAAAGCTCAAAAGAAGTAACAGGATGTAAAACGTGAAAATATTGAAACCCTCGTTAGATTACTGTCAAAAAGAGTCATCGAGGAGAAAAGAAAGGCTCCAGTGAGGCTAGACGGACACAAATTGTCCCAAAGTGTTGAGAGAAGGCTTAGACAGGTACAGACTGACCCAGGTTTCGAGTTCATAGAGTGGTAGATCTTGACTCTGATAACATGTAAGAATATATAGAAACCTTATGAGGTTACCCTCCACAAAACCCCTGAGTAGAGAAAGGGGGTTCTAATATATATCCAAAAGAAATGGTTCAAATTTAGCCGATCTAACGTGGGAGTCCTGACATAATAAACTGTCATGGATAGAAGGAACAATATGAAGTAGCAAAAGAGATAAAATGCCATAATCTTTACCAGTTTCTATGGGACCTCTTAGGGGCTGTTCGGTTTGTTTTTTTATTAAGCTCGAGTGGGTTAATCTGTCTGCACAGATTTTGTTGTCCGTATGATTTATGCTAAATTGTTGTTCGGTTGTAGAGCTGAATCAATAGACTGAATGACGGAAATGACTATTTTAACCCTCTATAATGGCAAAATTCCTACTTATTTCAGCTTTATATTCTTGGCAAAAGACATATTGACTGAGAAAAAAGGGGAAGTAATGTAATTTGGTTCGTACCTGTCAATCAGAATGAACATTGGGCGCTGAGTATCCATAGAAGATTGATATAAGTCTCGAATCAAACACCAAGCATTGTTGAATTTTTTATGGTTCCCCAATACCCATATGATCAAGCTCCAAGCTTTTTCATCATCGCATCTCCATTTCTGACCCCATTTAAACACGAAAAATGCCAGCTTCCATTCATCTCGTAAGGCCCAAATCACTGAAACAATCAAATCTTCACTTGGCTTGATGCCAGACCCATCAAGAAAATCCTTCGACTCTACCCCTTCAGAATCGAAATTACTGCGTAATAATTTGACTAATTCAATCACACCCAACTTTTTACTTTCATCGATGCACTCTGTTAACTGGGTGAAGTTTATGGTTTCGTAGTGGTTATGAACATGGGGTGGCTGGAGGGTAGAAAAATAGCTGTAATCCAGTCTTGGGGATCGAATGCCAAGTGTTTGACGAAATGCCTGACTGAAAGTATATGTTGAATGCGAATATGAAGAACCATGTTGGGCAGCTATTGATCTTAGAATAAAGGGTAAAAAGCGATAAGAATGTGTAGGTTGGTTAACTGTGCGAGCAAGATAGGCAGAAAACATCAATTATTTTACCTTGATTCCAAGATTTTAGCGATCGCTTATTTTAAACTCACAGTCTGGAACTGTATGTTGGTGCAAATCGAGTAACGAAAGTAGGAAACCACCACTCTCGTTATAACTGTTTCAAACTAAATGCCCAAATGGGCTTGTAGCCCAATACGTGAAAACTTAAATTTTTTTTTTTTTTTCCTAAAATAACAAACTACTTTTATAAATTTCTTTATTATAGGATTGTATTTTCAGTTTTTCTTATTTTTTGTAATGTATTTTCAAAATGTTTTTTATTAGGACATCGAATTTTCAATAATTTATCCGTTATAGTATTGGATAACCTTTTAAATTAAATTTATTCGTTATATCAGGTTTCTTTGTCACCTCATCATCCACGTAGACTGTCCACTTGTACGATATTGCTGACATGACATTTTTTATTATAACATTGTACTTTCAAAATTAATTTATTATAAATTTATAATATCACTAATTTCTATTACAGCATTGTACTTTAAATTTTAATATTTTTTATCATTTTAAAGATTGTAAATTTAATCAAATATGTTTACTAAAAATTATAATATCAGAAATTAAACTTGTTTACAAAATATCACTATTTCACGAATAAAAATATTCATAAAAACTCATTCGTTCATGGTTCGAATGGCTTGACTATCGCAGATTTCATGAAATAATAGGTCTAATTTAGGCCGAGCGCTTTCCGCGTCCGAAACAGTGGTTTATGGTAATCCAACGCCTAGTGATTTACTATTTATGGATAGTGTGGTTTTTAACCGTAGCCTTCTTGCCTTAACCTAAGAATATGATTACGGGAGTTCAAAAGGGTAAAATCTAAAGTTAAACTAACCAACATTGTCTATCATTTACAAAGATCTTGTTATAATTAACACGATTAACTTGAAATTGGTTAACGCCAGCCAGTGGAATCGTTATCAATGGCATTTACTTCAATGTTTTCCTTTTGAAGTATATTGTATTTATATACAACAAATATAATAAATAGACTCACACACCCTCCTCATCTTTGATGATGATCAAAGGTTGATCCCAGATACCGCTGGACTAAAAGTCGTCTTTTACCTGTGATTCTAAAATATAGTGACCAAACACCTATTTTTCATGTAATTAACGCTATTATACTCTTGTAGAATCGACCATCTATTCTAAAACGGCATGACTCTTCTACGCTTGAAAAACCACAAAAAGGAACAGAATATGATGGCTCCGATAACCCCTGTGATCAACAACACCCAATTAAAAGCCGAGGGACTGTCGAACAATGTTATCGGGAAATTCATGCCAAATATCCCGGCTACGACTCCACACATCGCAACCACAAATGTAGCAGTCGTTAGTAACAACTCAAACTGTATAAGTTGGTTCCGCACATTGTCCTGCAACCAAATTAAACCAACCAACATTTGTCTATCATTTACAAAAATCTCTAATCGAACCTACACACACTCGTTAACCCTGCTGCTTTTGGTATCATATTCTAAATAAATTTTATGCGGGTTTAACCCTAGTACTAGATTCAATTGACTTCAACGACGGTCACGGTTCAATATGTCCTCCAAAATGTTATGTAACCCTTTATTGAAAGGGTAAAATGCAACAAAATGCAATCAAGTTTGTCTAACGGGCTGTTTACCAAGTGCTTACCGGGTGTCATTTACGTTACCAGGTGAGCATGGCAAGAATCGAGAACTTTACATGCTAGGTGAGGGAGAAGACTCTTTAAACAGTATGCTTACCAACAATCCATTTTTTGATAGGGAGGGGGGAGACCCCTCTAGATCAAGATAAAATACTAAAACGCTAAAACAGCAACAATGAAGCGTTCGAGTAGGAGGAAACCTCAACTACCAGAATCCAAGGCACCCCGAGGGGAAAGAAAGAGGGAGACAAAGAAGAAGAAAGACGAGAAAAAAGGGAAAAGGAGAGAAAGAAGAAAGGGAGAAGAAGAGAAGAGGGAAGAGAAAGAGGGAAAGAGAAGCAGAGAGAGAGGAAGAAGAGAAAGAAAAAAGAGAAAGAAGCCGATCACAAGGGAAGGGCCCAACAAAGCCAAGACCGGAAAGCAACGGGGAAAAAGATGGTGGTGACTTGCAGGTAAGCACTTACCCGGAAAGTGTTTGGTAACCGACCCTCCAGTTTCTACTTAGTGAAACAAATAATCTTTTTCCATGATCAATGTAACAAAGTTTTCAAATTTCCAATTTAATGCAACAAAATTTCAAAAAATCCTACTTAATGTGACATTTTATTATGTGGATGCCAAGTTTATCGTCCACTTCGCCATACACCACCTTAATCAGGGTATCCACGTCATAAAATTTTGCAAGATCAGCAGGTTACACGTCAAAATGGACGCAAAATAATTTTTTTAAGCTTTGTTACATTGATTAAGAAAAAAAATCCATTACACTAAACAGGAACTAAACTAAACATGTTGCATTTCTGATGCATTTTGTCCTCAATGAAATATCCTAAAGTTGGTGTGATCTTTCCCTTTTTGGGGAAAGTATAAGGAAAGTATCTACGACATAAAGGACGAGACTATTACCTTAAAAAGGCCCCAAAATTAGCACTTATCACCCTAAAGCCGTTTTTATAGTCTTTTAAACTGGGTTTGATTTCTTTCTTAAGTGTAAATGTTCACTTCATCAATACTGGTATAGAGTAGTAATATGTACAGAGAAAAAATGAAAACTTACCAGTTGAATATTAATCAAATCTTCGGTGTCATCAATGTATTCCTTCAGCTGGTATATGACAAGAAAAAGGCATCAATAAAATCGTCAAGGGTGCATTTGGTACGCGGACCAGACTTAACAGCACTGGAAGGATGAGAGTGAGTAGATGGGTGAAAAAATTACAGAACGTTTTAGGGTTCTAATTTGACATGGGTAGTTTAGTAATTTAACAATCTCGTCTCATCTACCAAACTTTTGTTCCACCTATTTTGGAGGGACGGGAAAAATGCATTTGTCTCACTCAGGTCCTGTCTGAGTCCAATGTTGCACCAAACTTGGGGGGCAAGTTTTTTAAACTGTCTTGTCCTGTTCCACATACCAAACGCACCCTAATTGAACCAAAAAGTGGTATATAGAGACCAGATAGAATTGAACATTTTTGGGGTAAACTAATACCGAAGTCAGCTTATTAAGAGTGCTGTCGATGACAACAAAATAAGCCTCCAGCAGCATCTCCATCTCCTCGATGTTCTGCTTGGCACTTTCGGAACTCCTCATACTATCATGCCTACTCCTCGCCATGCTTAAAGTTTTTTCAAGCTTCCAACCATCTGGAAGTGAAGAAACTGGAGATACTGGAGCAGAAACAGATTGTACACCATCAGTTGACCTGTATCCCATCATAGATTGTTCACCTGACGAAAATGACTCCATCCTCCTTTTCTTCTCAGTTAGGTACATTTCAGCCATATCTCCATCATCGTCCATTAGCTGCTCGATTTCATCTCTTACCTGTATACAAGTAATTGTCATAATCATGACAAAAGAGAGGTCGAGGGTCCTTGAATTTGAGGGAAAAAATTAATGGAAGACGGACTAAAGAACCTTCTGGACTCTCCGAGTCACTGCAACAAGTCTGCTTTTCAGTCTACGAACCCGTTCCAAGTTTATAGTACTGATTGTTGATGTAAGTTCATCTAGCAATGGATAAGCTTCAATTTCTAATTCCGCTGCCTGATGAATTTGTAAGAAGACTATTAACGAACAAATTAGCGAAGGAATAATACAAGAGAGTACAAATCCAGCAATAGAATACAATATAATACATCATATTTCAGGAATCAACAAGGTTCAATATAAAGCTACTAAATATAATCAGCTGTCCAATATAAACTACTTCCTCTGTCCCATGAGAACTGCAATTTTGATTATATTATTGCACATTCACATAAAAGCAAATCTTGTGGATACAATCACTTTTTGTGAAATTCACCGGAGGATTGGAGGAAAATACATAATTTCAGTTGGAACTTTTATGTTCCAAAAACGGAAACAGTGGGCATCCCTTAGAACGGGAATTTCTGCTAATCACGTTGCATGGAGGGAATACCGATTAATCAACCTAAAAATATGTCACCAATCAGTAGCTAACCATTTGCGCCAAAGATCGCCCAAACAACCTTCGAAATAATATTCCTAGAGTTAATACGCTACTTCTTAGACCAAAGGAAAAAACTAGTTGCAAAATACAAACATCTATATTCCATACACCAGCCAAATTTGCACACTACATAATGTAAATCATTTCAAAAAAAAAAATTATTTTCAGTAACAGAAAACAAATTCCTGCCTTAAGAACGGTATATCCGAGGGGTGATTAAGAACCCAAAAGACACCTTCAGACAAAGTAATCATCATACTGGCCAAGAATGATAATCATTTCCAAGCACCAACCACTTCCTCGACTAAGACCATAAACTTATTTGCATTTTTGGCAAATACGTTAAAATCTTACCAAAAAACACCTCAATGCCTATTCATACATTAATTTTCCTACACTCCTGAAGATAAACTCTTCCTACATAACACATAAAGATTTCAAGCTTAGATAAACTCTATCCTACTCTATTTGGCGTGTGTTTGACAAATCATAGTAACGTTACAGATTAAGATAAGAGTAGAGGCAATAAGATGCAGTGAGGAAAGGGGAAAAGTGGTGAATGTTCAGGGGCTAATAATTAAACAAAATGTGTGCTTTGATTGTTTAAGTCATATAAAGAGATAAAGCTGCCTCTTCTACTCCTCTAGCTTCACCATATTTATATCAATTCTCTTCTGTCTTTCTTTCTCCAATCGAAAAGTTTAACTGGAAAATTTCAAACTACATTAAATGTAAAGCTTTTAAGTTTAATATTCAACACACTCCATCTTCAGTTCAACTATTAATCAGATAAAAAGCAAAAAAGAAGGAAGATTTGTTGCAGTATGCAACATACAAGGTCGAAAAGGTTTTGCATATTCTAGAATTGAATAGGTAAGTTCTTGATCGGATTGTTGGGTAACTATTACTTCGATACCTCCAACTTGACCCGATAGAACTTTTAATGAAATGCAAAAAGTTTTTCCCCTTGCATGTACTATATACGAATAAGTAGAATCAATCATGCTCACAAGGATCTAATTCTTACTATTCTTTTCATGGATCCTGAAAGCCTAATAATTACCAATTGTGGAAATTAGAAACCAGTAATAGATCAAACCTGTGTATCCAGAAATGTACAAGCAGCTTCAAGAGCAACTTCTAACGCCTTGAATTCAAAGGGCAAATAATCAGCTGATGAATTTCCAGATATATCCCCAAAATTCCTACTTCCTCTACTTCTGTTCGAGTAGGAGCCTTGTGACTGCCAAACCTCACCAGCTCCTTGAGCTTTCAATCGCCGTTGAAGTTCCACCACATACTGCAATACATAGCTATCAATAGAATTTAGAAGTAACACTTCATCAGCAGTTATGATGCAACGGATCTGCTCCAAGTTTACAACGATGGCCTTCTCTCTGCCCAGAATTGTTGAGGGATAAACAAATAAAGGATCAAGTAAGCGAAGATCACGGGCAGGAAGATCACAACGTCGCATTACAGTGAACTTATCAGCCTCAATATTTTGTGAATCTCCAGTTGCAGCATCAACACGAATCCATGACCGAAGACCTTGACCGCGCTTTTTCAGGCCTAGAACATCAACAAATCCTTGAAAAGGCTGCCTCGAAGATGCAGATGGTCCATAAGACGCATCTCCAAGGTCCACTGCTGATGCCGAATTTGGCAGTAGGCGCTCTCTTAGGTCTCCCATCTGAAACTAACAGCAGAAACATGTATGGTAAGCATAAAAGAAAATATTCAATCCAAAACATAACAGTCAAACAATTAACTGTTAGTAGTTAAAATTAGTGCCACACGTCAGACCAGCGAACCAGGTAAGACGGGGGATCACTTGTTTGTATGTCAAGTGAACTGTAATTAACTAGTATTCATCCATTTCAACAAGGTAAGCTCTGAGGATGATTAATGATTAAGCCGTAATATATGGTAATTCTAAAGGCAAAAATAGATAAAGTGGTTTGTCCAATTAGCAAGTAGTTAACAAATCTTCTTCTTTAAGAATGTTATTGAATTCAATGTTAAGGCACTTGCGTATTTATCCACTTTGCCTATTCTTAACATGCGTGCTTTTCCTGTTCTGTTCATATCATTGAACATCCCAGCAGAAGTTTGTATATTTTTGTCCAGAGGCAGATACAACTTAAGATACTGAATCTGAATGAACCTTTTGAGCATAACACATATGGAAAACAACTCAAATCGAGAATCAAGATCAACTAATAAGAAAAGTACAGTGAATAATCGAATCTAAAGAACGGAATTGGATTGAAAAAGCAGTCACTCCCCTAATGCCCTCCCTCCTATGGATGAATTAGGGTTTCACTCCAGAAGAAAAAAAATCAATTGGCAACATAATCAAACGACCTGCAATTAAAAATTGAAAATCAGAGAATCGAATAATCAACTACAAACACACGAATTATAAAACACATATCACGAACAAAAACTTACTGGTGCAAGCGTTGTTAGTGTATCTTGGAGAGGAAGGCATAATCAACGAGAGATTGGGAACTAAAAAGAGATGCGATGCAGCTACCATGTACAAACTTCACGTAAACGCATAATTGAAGATGGAAGTACCAAATTTCGAGTACTGTTCTTGGAGTGAGAGAGACGATCCGTGACGTGGCGTCTTCCGAAATAATGGATAAATGTCTATGGAGCACATCACGTTTGTTAGTTTGTACTTCTGTGTTGTCTTTCTTGGCAATGTCTTGTACCTTGTGCATTGCCAGTTGTACTTTTGTATGGTGACCACTACCCGATATCAACTCTGACGATTGGAACCTAAGAGAGCTCAAACACAGTCCTATGGCTTAGCTGTCGCTTATTAAATGGTAACTGTAACACCCCGAAATTCTCTTTCTTTCCGTTTCGAGGTATTCTATTATTTTATCTTATTTATGAATATTTTATGTATATATATATATATATACTTATATATACATATATTATATATATGTATGTGCTAGTGTGGTTTTTCTTAAAGAATATAATAATTCGAAGGGGGGGGGTCTTACATGTGGTACATTGACCCATACCTTTCCATCCAATCTAAGATTGACACCACACTTAATTTAGGAGTCCTTACCTGCTGGTGGATTATGATGAGAAGAAAGCATGGTCWAGAACCTCCCTAACCCATCTGCAACTTCACACGAAAAAGCTTCCCTWCCCACTTTGCTTCTTCCACTGATTTTGAGCACCTGCACAGCTGCTGCTGCTTCTTCCTCATCGCCGGCGACTGCTGCCGCCCTCCTCCCTGCACAGCTGCTGCTTGCCGTCCCTCATCTCCATCGTCAACAGCCAGCAGCCAAGCCGAAGACAGCAGCTCAAACCGCTGCTGTGCTTCGTTCTTCGTTGTCGGAAGCTTTCGTGAGTTCATCTTTCTCCGGTTACGTTTTATTACTCCTCAAAACACCATAGGCTTGGATCCAATTTCTTAACATGATAAGATACCTTTAATATATATATTGTTATGAGGTTAATATTAGATAATACCTTTAATATATATATTGTTATGAGGTTAATATTAGATAATACCTTTAATTTATATATTGTTAAGAGGTTAATATTAGATGATACCTTGAATATATATATTGCCATGAGATTAGTATTAGANTTATATATTGTTAAGAGGTTAATATTAGATGATACCTTGAATATATATATTGCCATGAGATTAGTATTAGATGATACCTTGAATATATATATTGCTATGAGATTGATATTAGATGATACCTTTAATATATAATGTCATGATACTTATGTTAGTTGATGATGATTTATTTGTTGTCTAAGAAAATGTCAATTATGATGAGAAAGTTATGTGAAAAGCCTACTAATGGGTCGTATTAAGACGTGCATAACTYGAAGAAAAGTTAGTGTATGGGTCGTCGTATACGTGCCTTCTTATATCTAGAAATTGTAGGCGGTCTATGTAGAGAACTCTATTACCTTTGATTTATGTCCGGTGATTTGCTAATAATAGTAGTGGCGTACTTGTTATATTGGTAGACTCATCTTAAATCTCGAGGTTGGAATGTTATTATAAGTGCTCRTATGCTAAATATTAATTATTCAAATAATTATTTTGAGACGGGATGAAGCTTGGGATTCGAATATTGTTTTATTTTATTGTGTGTGAAGGATGGTGTGAACTGGGGGTAGGCATTGTGATTATTATGTAACCTCCATGTCATCMTTTCACTACCTCTCGGAAATAGGCATTGTGATTATTGTGTAATTTCCGAGATAAAGAGCTTACGATCACGAATGGCTAAATGACTGGATTTTGGTTGATGTCGATGGTTTTTGAACCTATAAGTGATGCTCTATAACGGTGATTTACGACTTACTTTGTGTTCGTCTTAATCAACTGTAAATCGGGTCTCCCCCGTTGTCCTCTGATGTTTAATATCCCTGTCAATATTTTAAACTAACTGCGACCTTTCAGTGCTTAAAATTGTAATATTTATATCTCCAGACTTCGCTATTTCTTGAGAATTTAATTGAACTCACTAGGCGTAAGCCTAACACTTCTTGATTATAACTTGTTTAGCAGGTTCTTTTAGTAGCGGGGCTAAAACGGGTTGAGAGGAGCATTGTTCATGAAGGGGCTCTTTTGTAGTAAAGCCTCGTTCTCTTGAGCGCTAAGCTGGTTAATACCGTATTTTTGGAGATTGATAGAAACACCCGTCTATAATCTAGTTGTAGAAAATCTAGATTAGTAGGTTGTTATCTATCGTCTCGAAAATCGTTTGTAAACGCCTTACTATTGCCTTTTGTAAAAAAAAAATTATATTTAAGAATTCAAGTTCCGGATTTTTGCTTGAGTTTATTTCTTTGGTTTTAGCATTTTATTATTGCTTCTTGTAAGTGATATGGGTGTTACAGTAACCAAGTAAGCATATACTGGGTTGCTTACCTAGTTACCTTATCGGATGACCATGCTAAAAATTGAAAATCTTAACTAGTAAGAAGCATGGCAAGTACTTAAAATCTTGTGGCAAAGATCAGGAATCTTATCCGCTTAATGCAAACTAGGTAAACAAAACGTTTACCAACAATCTTATTATGTCATTTTAATGGTCGAGAATCTTAAGTGAGGGTTATGAATCTTAGCAGGTAAAAGCTTACCCGATTAACGTTGATAATCAACCCCTAAATCTTTACATGTATTCTTGTTTTGGTGGAGGTGAGTTTCAACAAGGAGGGTTAACTTGTTGAGTAGTACTTGTTAACTGATGAATTGCAAGTGGCTTATTAGATACTGATTGAATAATTGATATAGTAGTTGTAACATATAACGGTGATGCAGTTGACGTATAACTTTTTTTATTCGTAGATCGATGGATAAAAGTCACTTATTCTGAAATCACACGTCTTATTTTTGTTTAAAACATATTAGACTTTTTATTTATTTTAAATTTATCTAACTCGTGTTCACATTCTCCCTTTAATTATGTATCATGTGATTGGTAGACACAAATAGAACGTTAAAAATTGGGACAGGAGATTTTTATCCTGGATTGATGTTTCCGCTTCCAAGAGTCCCAAAATGACTGCAACAATTGATTCTAGCATAGTAGTCGTCAGTATAAGGAACTCCAGTACAATGTTGATGTAGGGACTAGAGAGGATTCGAGAGTCCATGGACTCTATCATGGATCAATGGGAATTCGGACGGTTTACTCGGGGACGGACTCATAACTTTTTTTCAAATGTTGACACCATTTGACTATAAGAAACAAATATAGAGATATACGACGACACACAACAAATTTACGCTACGACGGAGGGAAGAAACGGTGGCACGTGCCACCACTCTGGGTTCGTCCATGCGGTCCCTTGCACGACTTCTCCCGCGACCTAGAAAAGTCCTGCACATATTGTTTTTATTTGGTTATTTGATTATTTTGTTTTCTAATTAAGTCAGGTTTTTTTGTTTATTTTTAGTTATTAATTATTTTGTTCATAATTAGATTCTGATTATTATTATTAATTTTTCAATTATATCTTGTTTGCTTTCTTAGTTGGTTTAGGATTAGTATTGAGTTTGAATTTAGATTTCATAGTTATCCTTAGTTACTTCAGTCTACAAATACAGTTTTTTTGTTTTCACTTAGGCCTTGTTTGTTTGTTTTTTTATAAAAAGACTTTTATTAGCTTCTTATGTCTGCTTCGTTAAGAGATAAGGTCATTTAGACTGTTTGTTTTTTCCAATTTTTCAGAGACATGTAAATCTTGTTGTCCTCTTATATGTAAGAGGTAAACCAATCTCTTATTTACTTCGTAGTGTTCTTCAAATCTATAACAACGACATTTCTCAACCGATTAATCTTAATCGATCATTTCTCTCAATCAATCCTTACCAAATCAATCCTCACGTCTCTCAATTGATTATTTTAATAGGATTTAAATGTGTTAAATATGTTAATGACATATTTTCGTTTAAATGAATGATAATTATATAATTTAGATGTAAATTTCGTAATGACGAATAAATATGTGAAATTTTATTTATAAATTCAACAATATAATTTTGTTAATGGATAAAATAGACAATTTAAACAAATTCAGATGTTTATCAGTTTACAAAACCAACACTCTTATTGATTTAAATTTCAGATGTCGGTACCACCTCTTATAAATCAGAAGTGAAATAAGACTTCAGACTTTAACACCTCTTAAAAAACAAACGTCGCCTCAATATTCAGTTTATTATCAATCAATAAAATTATCTTTAGAGTCTTATCTTAAGTTGTAAGAATTTTCTTTATTTTTCTAAGTTTTATGTTTGTAGGCTTATTATTCTTTACAGTTTAGAAGTTTGTCGACCCTTAAGCATTTTCCCACTGTGTCAAATACAACATTAAGTGGAGTATGTGATCGCTATACGATTTCTACTCAAGAGAGTAACGTCTTTGAACGATAATGAATTATTGGTGGTATTTTGTTCGTATTCTGTAAAAATGATATAACTAACTTTTAATCCAATCAATTTAACCCGCAAAACTAATAAGATAACTTAACTTTCAACCTTCAATTCAACCTGTAAAACTTAAGTTGGACTGAGATTTTTCAAATCATAAACATTGAATTTGGTTGTTCAAATGTCTTCAAATCAGACAACCCATCACATATTCACCCCTGGCGACCGCCTCCTTCAACGATCCAATAGGTTATATTTGTATAAATTTAACGATCAAAGTTAACATCCACAATGCATAAGTCTTATAATGACTTTTTATTTTTACCACCTCATATTTCCACTAACTTTATCCAACCGACACTTATCCGTTAAAAATCCTCTCCAATGCGACCAACCTTTTCAAAAGCTTTTTATATTTAATAATTAATGAAAAAGAATTTGGCAAAATGAAAATATATTCGAAAAAGGTAAAACCTCAATCCGTCATTGGAGGCCGAAGTCTTTGGTCAATTACCGTCTTAAAAGGGTTTTCTAAATAATAAAAGGGACTTGGGATCACGTGAGACCAACATATTTTCGTGAGACCCGTGAAACTATTTTTTTCTACGTGATACTTCATAGCAAAACGCTATGAATGTAATTTTCATAGTGTTTTTGCTATAAAGGTTCAACTTTTGTTTACCTTCACAGTGTTTTTCTGTGAAGTTTAAGTGTAAAATAATGGTCTTACGGGTTTAACGAAAACAAGTTGGTCTCATATAACTCAACCCTAATAAAAAAAATCATCCAATAAACTTGCATTAAAGATGCTCTAAATTTGCTAATAAATAAATCAATATTATTGTAAGAAATACAAAGTGGAGACTTTTGTTTTTAAAAATATAATTTTTATCAAGTATTTAAATTTTATAATTTTTATAAACAAAATAAAATCCATAACACGTATGATACGGACCAATTTAAAATGTCGGCCGAGTAAACCGTCTAAATGTTACAACCATAAAATTGTTTAAATAAGGGTATTTTTGTTTTTTTAATGAATTCAAGTTTTAAGATAATCATCTTCCTTAAATATCTCGCAGGATATCATAATTAAAGGATTCATTTTAGGGATTATTTCTTTCTCAAAAATCTCATCCAGTTGTCATAACTGATTTCATCACTCTATCTGTCAACCATATTCATTGTAACTGTTTTGATTTTCATATGAAACCAAACCAATAACTGTTTTTGTTACACTAGTTTTCATACCAGATATTGACTTTTTAATGTGGAACTCATTATTGAAAATAGAAACTGGAACCCAGCAAGTGGTTTGAAGATTTTTATAGACAGTGAAAATGAATAAGTTGCAGACATCGACGTTACAAAATAATACAGATAGAATATCCATATCATGAAGAAATTATAATATAAAAACACAAACGTCAACATTCATTGGTTTTAAAGTCCCTTTCAATCTGAAGCATCAACTATCGTCATCATCTTCTTGCGAATATTATATTTATGATCCGAATATAAAATAGACATTACAAAATCAAACCATCGTCATGTATTTGTTTTGTTTCAAAAATATCGTTGATATGTGTAAATAATCTTTCATCTTCTTTATTGTTGGTAAAAGAAAAAAAGTTATGGATTAAATTTAATTATTTGAGAACATGTAAAACAAACACATTGTAAAATAAATATATGTTATTAAGGTACCGTATGTTTTATAAGAGGCGTTGGAGTCTGAAGTCTTATTTTACTTCTGACTGATAAGAGGTGGTGTTGAAGTTTGAAATCTGAATCAATAAAATTGTTTGTTTTTGTAAATTGATATATGTCTGGATTTGTTTAAATTGCTTATTTTACCAATTAGAAAGCTATAGTATTGAATTTATAGATAGATTTATACAATTTTACATATTTATTCATCATCGTTATGAAATTTACATCTAAATTATATAATTAGCATTTATTTAAACGAAAATATGTCATTGACGGTATTTAACATATTTAAATACTATTAAAATATATCAATTGAGGGAGGTGAGGATCAATTTGCTAAGGACCGATTGAGTGAAAGGATTGATTAAAGTTAATCGATTAAGAAACATTGTTGTTGAAAGTCTGGAGAACAATAAGCAGCAAATAAGATGTTAATTTACCTCTTACTAGATAAGAAGACAATAAGACATAGCGACATCTGAAAATTTGGAAAAACAAACAGTCTGAATGACCTTAGCTCTAACAAGTCAAACATAAAAGGCTGATAAGAGGCTTTTTCCAAAAACAAACAAGACACTAATCCTTAAAGTTTTTATAGTTTCTCAGAGATCCTCTCTCATAATAACTACTAATGATATTGCTACTGATAATTTGTTAGATCAGATTGAATTCATCCAATATTTTGATGCAATTGTCAACCAATTAAATATATACTTTCCAATTTTCTTAAAAATCACTACATACAAATATTAGCTAAAAACAATATCATAAAATATAATTAATCATATTTGTTAATTTAATAATAATTGGATGATAGTTGAATGGTAACCGGATTAGATCGGTTTGATCAACAAATTTTGAAATTAAACAATTGTTTTTTATTTTGAAATAAATTAGATGGTTTTAATTGAAGTGGGTTAATGTAGCGAGCTATATAAATTTGGGCCCCAAGCAGAAGTAGAATTGAGCCGCAATAATTTAAGGACTACGTTAAAAAAACCAAGATTTTAACATGTTAATGGACGACACTGCTTATTTGTGTAATGTTGAAAAAGGTGGTATGAGACAACCAAACACGAAAAAGAAAAATCATCAAATCACGGATGTCCATTAAGGGCCATCCAATGGACGTCTGCAATTCCAAACGTTCATTCGGACGTTTGCTCGCGTCACGTAAGGGACATAAAGTTTTTGGTATTGGCGTAACCATGACGCTATAATATCCACAACAACGTCATACGATAAACTTAAAAAAAAACATTAAATTATAAAAAGGAACCTTAAAACTCCAAGTTTTATAATCAGTTGAGTTAACCTTTTTTTCGTAAGACCTATAAAATCACGTAAATAACAATAAACATTCACAGCAAAATTAAGGTAACATTCAGAGTGGTTTTTATGATAAAGATTCGATATTTTTCGTACCTCGATAATATTTTATCACATAGTTTCAATGTTATATTATGATGTCAGGAATCTCTAACTTAACCCAACCAACATATTTATGTGGATAATTTTTTTGAAGTATATAATATTTATATACAACAAACTTTGCATAACAAATAAACTCACACATCCTCCTCACATTTGATGAAGTTTGAACCCTGACCTGTTAAAATTGCAAAGACTACGATACCACTGAGCCAAAAATTAATTATATGACGAAGGAAAAAGATTTAAAATAATGAAGATTTATTTCCAACGGTAATTACACAGATTAACCATAATTTAGAATTATATACAAAGAGAGACGAATGTTAATACCATCATCTCTATAGACTCCCTTTTATATACAAACCAGGTACTTCAGTTCACATTTTTTATTCATCCTGGTACATCCATGGCGGATTCAGCTTAAAATCCATGAATCTTCTTCAATCAGATGTATGGATTAATGTGTGAAGTGTAATCTCGGATTCCAGCGCCTTCCCAACCCATCCATTCTTCCCACATATCCCACTCTGGATCATCCATACCTCTCATCGGTTCATCTATACCTGCATCTGATGGTCCGTACACGTCCATCTCCGATACACTCGTTTCATCTCTCAAATTATTCATCACCATCTGCAAATCATCCCAAAATTTCAGTTAGATTTTATTGAATCAATCGTTACCTTGTCAATTTTGAGATGGAATTGGTCCTAGTGCCGTGGAAAATTCTAGATTAATCTGGATGTGATCTATGGATACAATGGATTCTTGAACATGATTGAAAATAGAAGATCGAATTTCAATAGAGAGAGAAAGCGTACATCGTAAGCTTCGTTGATTTGATGAAACTGGACTCCGCAATTGCTTCCTCTGCAAACGTCTGGATGATACTGAGATTTGATCAAACACAAAAAAGTGTGATTAATTGAATCAAACAAATTAAACTGGATTTGAATAAAGGACGAGACGATTCCGTATCTAACAATCAGAATCTTTCATCAGCGAAAAGCTTACCTTCAAAGCTAGTTGTCTAAAAGCCTTTTTGACCTCAGATTCAGAAGCACCAGGACGAATACTCAAAGTCTTATACGGATCTGAAGCAACAGGACTAGTTGAAACACAACGAACCCTAAACCTCCGTTCACCGCCACCTCCGTTCACCGCCTTCTTCTTGTGCAAATTTCTCAATTGCCCCCACGACGACGACGACGATGAGACACAGCCATTGATGATTCCAGCCGCACTCGCCATAATCTCTTCTTCTTCACAAGATATTTCAAAAAACCAAACTAAAATTCCCAAAAACGAGATATGAACAACAGCCTCTGCAGATTGATGATTTATATATGTGAAATTGTGGATCAGAAGCAATAAAATAGCGATCAAAGAGGAAGATATTCGATTTGAATATCAATGAACGACTCCGTTATCCAAGAGCTGAATATATAACAACAGGGATTAAAAAAATCTTAGGTGAAATTGGTTGATTGTTTCAGTGGAAGAAAGGGTCAATAATGGGGAGGAAAGGGCATCCTTTGGATCCAAGATATAGGCCAAGATAGAGAGAGAAAGTAGTGTGTGTTTTTGGTGTTGTGTGTGAGAGAGAAAGTGAAATATGGAAGGTCCTTATCCATTTGTGTTTACAAAACGCTGACGTGCCTTTCACCGTTTTGTGGCTCGCATCACTTATCGCTTCCACTTTCCATCCTAGTCACATTACTCCTTTCGAGTTTGGAATCTTTTTAATATTTACACTTTTAGTCCTTATATTTATAACCTTTACACAAATTCCACTAACTTTGATAGATTTAAGATTTCACCACTTATTTTCATCTTATTTTTAAAATAAACTACATAACCGAACTCGTACACTCGTACTCATATTAAAAGACTTGAATCAATGAAAGTCAAATCCAATTCTGATATTTTAATTGATAGAATGCAAATATCTTTAACTGTAGTAAAACATGAGTTCAGATATTTAAACGTATTCAAGTTGATCAATGTCCCGAATAGGAAACAACTTGTGAGAATTTTGTATTATTTCTCTGAAGTTCCTACACCCCACACATAAAGATCTAACCGTTGCTTTTGGATAAGAATGTAGCATTGTAAGATAGACATGAACTTTGTCTTTCATAATATGACGATACTGAGATTTTTATGCTTTTCGATTACATCATTCTTCAATAAATTTTGTATATTTTGTGCAATGGTCCCGTTCATTTTGTTTCATAGCTACTAGATATATCAGTAAACATGGAAAAGTGTTACGACTCGTATTTAAATTGTTTTCTCAAAACTTTTATTATAATTGTTTTACAATTCGAATGATTAGGAATACACAGTTAAACATGCATTTTCGGGTAGTAACCGTCATGAAAACACTGCAATGAATATAAGCTCATATGATAATATTATCTGCTTTTGTATCTATCTTAGCAGTTATAAAATCTATTAACAACACATTAATTATTTGGCACTTTTGAAATCTCAAACATAAAGGGTATAAAGTAACAAAAGTTGAAAGAACGAGGGTCTTGACGCAAACATATTAAACTTGCATTCATGCAGCAGGACACGTGTAGCGATACCAACCAATGTCTTGATATAATTGGTCTAAATTTCTGCACATTTAGCTCTTTTTTGCCCTTTATTTGTGGATTTTTGGAATAAATTTAGGATATTTGAATGGATAATTTTTTGGTTACAATAAATATTGGATCGTAAATTTACATAAATGTAGGAGAACCTTAATTTAAGGAAACGATATTGCAGGAATATGGATAAGATGTGGTTTATTTACACCCCACGTGTCGTGCCGATCATCAAGTTACGAAGCACTAGAAAGAGGGAATCTGACAAGAATGATCGTTTTGAAATTTATGTTTTTAGCTCTTAAATTTGTAACTTTAAAAAGCTAACCATGGATTACACCCTTAATACCAATCGGTGCGTAAGGAGACCAATATGCCAAAAAATATATATATATATATATATATATATATATCTTTGATGTGATAACCCCATGACCAATGAGACTTGTCTTTGACTTAGCTAACACGTTAAGTATTCTGTCTGGGGAGTACGTTCGCAAGAGTGAAACTCAAAGAAATTGACGAGGGCCTGTATAAGCGATGAAGCATGTGGTTTAATTCGATGCAAAGCAAAGAACCTTACCACGGCTTGACATGTTGTGAATCCTCTTGAAAGAGAAGGGTGCCTTTGGGAACGAGGACATAGGTGGTGCATAGTTGTCGTTATACTCGTGCCATGAGGTGTTGGGTTAAGTCCTGCAACGAGCGCAACCCTTGTGTTTAGTTGGCATCATTGAGTTTTAATTGGTCAAAGACGAGTCTCATCGGTCAGTGGGCTGTCACATCAAAGATAAGTTTTTTTTTTGCATATTGGTCCCCTTACGCACCAATTGGTGCATGGTTAGGTTTTTAAAAGTTATAAATTTAAGAAATAATAATGTAAATTTCGAAACATTTTGGGTTATTTTTGTCAGCTTCATTAAAAAAATATGTTGGAACATTAAATCAAAGTTCTAAATGATGTTGAGGCATGGCATGACAGCGATGTTATATCTCAACACCACAACTTTTTTTAAGGCGTGACTTATGGTAACAAATATATATATATATATATATTATGTATATACGTACACACACGTGTTTCTACCAATACTCAATGAGTCGATGTCTTCTACAAATACTCAAGTAAGAAAAATCAAATATCGCATAACAAAAACTACCCATTGGTACACCATGACGGTTGTAGTGGTAAGTCTTTTAGAACACTCATTAAATAATACAGTTATCGTTTATCAAGACTTAAATCCAAAAATATGAAGTCAGTCAAAATGATTTGACAAAAGCATCGTAAATCACCATTTTTTTCATAAAATATATCATTCATATCTAAATTATTTAAGATAAGCTTCAATCTTCAATCTTTCTTTGCCGGTGTAAAGACGGTTGAAAGGGACTAAGAACCAACCATTATTTGGGTTGTTTATAATAAAAAATTATTTTTATACTGTTTGAAGTATTTGGCGAACAGTTAATGGGGGTTGAATACTGTCATGTCCCCCTACTAACTAGGTCTCTGTGTATCAGGTCATTTTACTTTATTAGATGAACATGAAAAAGATTGAGAACCTTATTTGGTAGGAGTGATGACAACGACCGAAAGTTTTTCCCAGTAAGTGAAGTCATGCTAAGAGAATTAATTTTCCGTATTTAAACTTATACTTCAGATTTAATAGTTATTAAATAATGGTTGAGTTTCGACCAGAATAAAAATTATTGTGAGAAAGATAAAAAAAGATTTATATCATTGGATCAATCATAATTGAAGATCAATACTAATGAAATGCACCGAGATACACCAGATCAATTCTCGTATCAAACACAATTCATGAGATGGGGTGAGATTAAAAATGATTGAGGGTCGATAACCCTTTTTACACTTCTTAAATTAAGTCTTATTCTCATATGATTCTCCGTCTATTAAGTAATATAAAAAATTAATAAAATTGGGAAAAATTAACTACTTATCAACAACTTCAAGATCAAATAACCCCATCTATAAAGTTTAATATTTTTTTAATAAATAGATTAGAAGGGTACTCGTGCAATATAACGAGACGTATCTTAATTTTAATATTTTATTTTATTTATTTTTCTTAATATAATATGTTTTTATGTGATTTTTAGACAACGATAATATTTTTATTTTTGAGTGAAATATAAATTTGAAAAAAAAAAAGTATCGATGTTAGTATTAAATTAATTATTTAAAAGTTCTTGTTTCTATGTAATTTTCTTAATTCAATTTTTTTTTATTATAATTTGATTTAGATTTAATAACAACGTAATTTATTTTTGTTTAATAATATAATTTTTATAAGAATGATAATCAAGTATTCTGTTAAAATATCCTGTATTTTATCATGTTTATCTGCAGTTATTTACACGAATTCAAAAATATAGTTTTTAAGAAATCGTATTTATGCATAATTTACTTGTATTATTGAATTTTAAGTAAAATATATCAATAAACAGTAATTCATGCATAAAAAATAGTTTTTAAAAGTTTTTATCAAATATTTTATAATATAATATAGATATAGATAGGTAAAAGAAAATAAGATTATCATCATGGTTTAGTTTGATTTATAACTAGGTAACTTTACCGCGCTTCGCGCGGTCGTTGTTGATTGATGAAAGAAAGCATCGAGACCTTCCAGCCTAGTGGTAAAGGCTTGGGCATGACATAGTCATGAACCCGAGTTCGAGCCCTGGGAGGGGAATGTTGGCGACATTTAAGTGGGGCCATGTTTAGCCTCCAAATTTGTCGGGGATTAGTCGGGCTTTGGCCCGGACACCCTTACAAAAAAAAAAGTTTAAATTTGATACAAAATGTCAAAAGGTATCACAATAATTGTGTTACAATTTTATTTCTGAATGTTTTATTTTGTTAGAATAAAGAGAGTTAGATTACATTGGTTGTAGAAAAATGAATATATAAGTTTGAATTCGATATAAAGTGTTAAAATATATCAGAATAATTATGGTACAATTTTATTTCTGAATATTTTATTATGTTAGAATAAAGAGAGTTAAAATATATTGGTTGCAGAAAAATGAATATGTAGCGTAAAAGAAGTTAAATTGTGAAATAACAGATAATACATTCTATAGATATATAACTAATTTCTTGGTTTTGGTTGTCTTATTATTATAAGAATAAAGAGAGGTGTAATATATTTCTTGTGAAAAATAAAAATATAATTTATAAATAACATATATCAATTCGGTATATTATTAGGTGTAAAGCCGAATATTACGTTTTATAATGAAAAATCCAATAAAATTGTGACATGGAACGTGGTTATAATATAAAATTATCAAATTATGTTTTAGTTCGAAAATATATAATTTTTTTCCCTTCTATGAATATCCCGAATCCTAAAAAAATGTAGTAGAAGATAAATAATTAATTGTTTATAAAAACAATCTGCAATCTTCAAAATGAAAATAACAAAAATTGAGGTAGTAATTTAAAATAAAAACATACAATTTCCACGTTTTGTATATCCAGTCTCATGGAGATATTGGAGCATCTAATTAGTTTTCTCGGAACTTCAGATATGAAGAAAACACACCAACAACTGATTTTGCCATAGACTTTTCTTGTTCCTCCTTATATTGTTTCTCTAATCTCCTTCAGTTTGCTTTTAATCGCAGACAACAGAGTAGATAGAGAGATCGAGAAAATAAAAGTAAAACACTCATAATTATTGTTTCATATCTTTCTATAGATGCATAAAAAGATAGAGAGAGGCGTACCGCCAGCTATATTGTCAATCCATAATTTTTTATAGGGATCGCAAGATGGAGAAGAGCAAAGAAGTTTGTGATAGAAAGATGTAGAAAAGAAAGAATTGTAACGGTAGAAGATGAAGAGTAAAGAAGTATATGACAGAAAGACGTAGAAAATAATGAATTGTAACGGTAGAAAACGAAGGGTAAATAAGTTTATGAT